TTAGGGCCTCGAATTTAGATAAACATTTGGGACGCAGCCTCGATGGAATGGAATTGGATGTTTATATGTTTTGTTCTTCTCCCTTAGAAAGAATTGGTTTAAATAATTTGATTTTATGTCGTCATTTGATCCGCTCGCAGACCATGTTGTGGAACACTTATTGCATGTGTGATGGGTTTATGTGTAGATTTGGCATGAGATATGTGTATATAAGAAACGTAATGTGTAATTTATTGCTACGGCTGTGGAAGCTCGTTAATTAATCTACAACCTAAATATTTCACATTCTGTGTATACTCAGCTTCCACATGCAGGCTGTGACGACTCTCTACACGGAGCTTCGAATATTTCTACCCTTTCCGTTTCTAACTCACATACCCTGGTCCCTGATATAACTCTGCAGTCCCTAAAAGTTTGAATGCAAAGTCATAGAAAAGCCTGATTTATAGCAGGATACATGAAACAGCCCTCTGAATGGATATGTTGCGCATTTTTAATGTCTTTATTATAATTATTATTACGAGAACAAAATGATGATATTGCATAAACTCATTTGAATATTATTGTCTTTTAATTTTAATAACACTTTGTGATTATATTTTAGTTGATTAATTGCTCATATTAAATATCGAATATTTGGTTTGATTTTCATTCGTTCATACAAACAGGCCAAAGTAGTTCGTTGCTCAGCATTATCTATTTATTAGTGTACAATTTACACAGGGGGGGGGGAATGCAACAGATTATTAATGAACTGGCATACATTCTGGCATAGGTACTTGAATACACGTGCTTGTCTTTCCCTATTGTCTTTTTTATTCTTACCAAAATCGCACACTTTGAGATGTTCACATACATAGCTTTTAGAAAATCTACGAACAAGCTGCTTTTATTGAAAGATTCAGATAAAGTCGGCTATTGATACCAAATATATGGATTTTTGTAAGTTTGGGATTGTGTAAAATTTTGACATGATTCTCCAAGTCTCAATTTGACTTGTTATTTATGATAATATTTTGTCGTAATCGATGTACATTCCTTCACTGATTGTTCATGAAACCTCGTGCCTTATCTCAAGATATCTACTTTAAAAAAGTCCGTAGCAGACATTTCAGCAGTTTGTGGGAGTGGGACTACGACATTTTAAAGGTAAAGACCAGTATTAGAAACGCCCCAATTTCAAAAAATGAAATGGAAGCTCTTATTACCAATCATGTGAAAGAATATGTTTTGACTAATACATGAAGATAAAAAATTTGCCGGGAAACCGCCTACTAAATCATATATTTGGTAAATTTGTTTCTCTCATGGTCTGTGAGAGATATAAGGTAGTCCCATATACATCTTTCTGTGTATAGTGCTTGTAACTTTACGAAGAATGGGCCAAATTTCTTATCATGTTGATGATTCCAGAACCTTGCAGATGCTAGATGCTAGATGATCAACCTTTTCTGATCGATTCCACAACGTTTCTTTTACAATGCAATCGCATGACCATAACTGATCTTTACCTTTAAGTTAATGTCAATTGGGAATAAAACAGAAAACAAAAAAGAAGTGTATACAGCAATTCATTTCAAATCGCCGTGAAAAGTTTTAAAAGAGGAAAGTTGTGTAGTTGCATTTCATAAGTATTGCATCACATTCATAATGTCTTTATTTAGTTACGTCGCTTCTCTGAGTAAAACATTTTGTATTTTGTATTTTGTATTTTTTTTTTGGGGGGGGGGGGAGGGATTAAAAACATTATACATAGTACATATTTCATAGATTTTACTCGTAAAGTGAACTTTGTTTGGGAGTTGAATCAATGATAGAGACCGTGCATTTTGAATTAGGAAACTAAAATAGATAAAAACAATATTCAGTGAGACATGTTGAGAATTTTGTTAATACGGATACATTTAATTGATTTATAACCCGTAATAAACTGGTTTTCATGTGAGGACTGAAATGAATTTAGAGGGACATGACCCCCCCCCCCCCTCAAACACTCACACGTACCCTCACAGACTTAAATGTTCATTTCATTTTCAAGGCATGCGTATCGAGTCGTATATGAGTCATTAAGCCTATTCATTACCAGTGCTTGCTGTGCTAAGTTTTAAAAACAATCGTACTTTCAATATTTGTTGGGGCATCTTTTTGGATCCCAAATCTACAGCCTTGCGCCATATTTCCCTGAAATTTCCCTGACCTTTGCTAAGAAAAAAAAAAATCCTCGTCAATAAATCCAATGGAATTGCACATACCGCTACATACTGATTCTGCGGGGTTCGGCTGAAGTCGGCAACCTTTTGAAATACATGCATGCATATTTTGAAATTAGGAGAGGGTACTCCAAGCATTCCGAAATAGCCCCTATGTCCTTGAAGAACCACATTAATCATTTATCGACCTTTTGTCGGCAGAAAATGAGCCCTTTTATCCACTCGTAGACATTCTACCATGCGATGGCTCTGAAAGAATTATGACATGGTAAATATTTTTGTCCGGGTCACGAAATGTGCTTGTCGGTTTTGCTTATCAAATAAGTCCACGCTTTACAACTGATTAGTTCATTATTGCCTTTAATCTGCAATTAGATTTTGATTTTCGCACTGATGATAGCAATACTTAGTACAATTAATTGGGTAAACACCTATTGGACTTGGAGGAGCAATAATTCACTATTATTTTTCCCATATTTATTTACTTGAATATATTGTGAATATTGTGTATAATATAGTATTACGCTTATTTGAATTTTTTTTTAAATCTCTGAAATTTTCACTGCATGCTAGCTTAGGTTACGTATTGATTTCTTACATTTATATTTCATACTTCGTATGATTAAAATATATAGAAATGCAAATTCCCCTCCACCTCTCTCTCTCTCTCTCTCTCTCTCTCTCTCTCTTTCTCTCCTCCCCCTTTCATTCTCTCTTTATCCCGCCCTTTCTCTGTCGCTGCTCTGATTTTGACCACTTTGAAGGAGTAATGCATCGAAATGGAAAGTAGCAGGTAAAATACGTGTGCCTATTAAAATGCATGTTAAGAAATCGGGGAAAATACAGACCAGATTCGTTTTGAAGAAAAATACACGTAGTCATGGAGTAAGAAAGTTCTGACAATCGACATGATACCCGACACGCCAACAGGAGGCGCTGTTCAACATACGCCATCTCATAGCTAGCAGAGTAGAAAAAGCTATGACTTGCACTTGCCGGGTCAACGCTATGATTATGATGTGATCATTTTTATTAGGGAACGCTGACGAGAAACTGACTGTTAGTGTTGGATATTCGGATCTTGTAGCTCCTTACTTATATTTTAAATTAAGAAGATATCTTCGTTTTAATATACATAACAGTTCTGTGATTCTGCATTTCCCTGCCTTCATGGTTCTTCTGATATAGCAATCGTTAGTGAACGAAACTTATTGCACTGTATTTTGAAGAAAAAATGAATAAACAGCAGTGACAGTTCATTAACCTTTTCCCCTTCATATTTTTTAGTTTGTTGAATTGCACCTTCATTTACTGTTTTATGAGCTTGTTGTAGAAAATAATTAACGAATATGAAAGACGAGTATGTAGAATTGAACCTAAACCATGCAATTGATATAAAATAGTATATAGAATAAACAGTTTCGAGTCATAATTGAATCAATAGTGACTTGTTATTTGATCGGCACAAAATGAATCCTCTGATGATTAGAAACATGAACCAACGCACATTTTCTCAGCACGGAACACCAATGCTTTATGTACATACATTTATTCCCTTTATTTTTTGTAAAGTAATTCGCTGCGCCCTACATACGTTATTCCTTGTGAAAAATGTTCATGCATGTAATGCTGAGATGAGAAGCAGCATTTTAATGCACTTCTTCTCTCTTTGACCGGTGAGGGGGCATGACCTCAGAGTTCGAATGACCAAACTCTGTCATGTGTGCATTGCGCATTCCGCCATAAATTTAAGTTGTGAATTCAGAAGGGGGCTGTTACGAGTTAGTTTGATTGCAAGTCGGTTTTAGCTTTGTTTTCCCAGCCTACCGCAAAGTGACAGTGCTCTACAAATATTGGGATTGCTTTGAAATAAGTAATTTGAAATGTTGATAGTTGATTTAATCAAATCAAAAGTAATAATAGAATACAACTCTATTTTTAATGTAAAAGTTCTGTATCTGTTGAATCATTTTGTTTGTTTAAATGGCAAATACTTGTATTTTGAAATGTTAACTGATACGTAATTTTGAAAAAACGTTTAGTGATACATAATTTTGAAGAAAAATATAGCGAAAAAATAACATTTATGTCGATCCCCTTTAAATTACCCACCAACACATAAAATAGATATAGAAAACGAAAAGTGATTTAGGTCTCGTTAAAAAGTTTTTAAAATCATATGTATTTTCAAACTTATGCCCTACACATTAAAGTTGATATAATAGTGGTTTCTTTTCTTCAGTGATATCTTTGATTTTTTTGAATCCGAAAAAAAGCCTTTTCCCTTTTCTCTTGTCTTCTCACATACCTTTGGTCAGTTTATAGCTTGATGTTGTCCTGTATAGTTTGCCATTCCTTTTTTTAAGGTTTTACCAATGTTTTTATCATGATTGTGAATACATTTGGATGGAGTGAATAGTTACGAATTTATATGCATAACATTGGATATTCATTTTTAATATGCAGGAATTTTTTCATTTTTGATAGAGTTATCACTAATGGAAATATAATTATTTGATTTGAAATTGAAGTGAGGTGAATTATTAATTCATCAACCGACCAATATTTGATCTCTTTAGTATTGGACGCAATAGATGACAGTTAAAATGCACATTAGGCTGTATTCAATTCACAAACCAGTGAACCAATTTACCGAAATTCATTCAATGTGATATTTTGATAGCTCCATTGAAGAAGTTACAGATTACAAAATAAATCTATTCAAATGAGAAGAAATCTTAACCATTTCCTCTATTTTCTCTTTCTTTTTCATTTCCGTCCTTTCCGCAGACGACGATAAACAGAAGAACGGGGACAGGCCGTCCTGGCTCTCGGCGACCTCCGGGCGGAAGAAGCGCTGTCCGTACACCAAGTTTCAAACGCTGGAGCTTGAGAAGGAGTTCCTCTTCAACATGTACCTCACCCGAGACCGCCGGCTGGAGATCGCCCGTCTACTCAGCCTCACCGAGCGGCAGGTCAAAATCTGGTTCCAGAACCGCAGAATGAAGATGAAGAAGCAAAATCGCGCTCAAAATTACCCTTGAAATCCCAACGTTGGTGCTGGAAACGAACTATAAAACCTTGGGACAGTTGTTATTACTAGGCAAAGTACTGAACTGGTATAGTTTTGAGTGTAGATATGGTATTGTGTTATGTGTGACGGTAACTTCAAAGTGACTGCGTAATTTGCCTATACGATTCGGGCAGGCGCGGAACAATAATGCGAGAAAGGTTACGCATTTGTAATTAACGTATACTGCTGGATGATTATTGAGATCATGAACTCATAAAGATTGAAAGTGTGATTTACTTGTCTTCGTCGTACATTTCATGGATTATTTGCCATTGATGAAACGCTGATATGAATGTATTCATTGTTCGATCGTTGCCATTTTATTGTATTATTATATGCAGATATAAAACACCTTGAAAGAGCGACTTCAAACACATCTGTCCATTGAACGATAGAAGACTTATCTAGGTTGATTATGTTTTCACATAATAATGACGTCATCAGATGCATGAATAATATAAGATGCAACATGCTTAAAGGGGTGGGAGGGCGGCGGTGCAAAGAGTGGATAATTGTTGGATCACATTTAGTGTTGTGCACACAAATCATTATAGATAAATTAAATGTCATATTATTATCTAAACATAGTTCAAAGGTATCAGAGCAATACAGTTCGAAAGTCTGCCGTCGAATACTTCACTCTAGCAAAACTAAGAACCTGCTGAAATTAGCAGCCTACTTTTTCGCTTTTACTATTATTTGAAGGATGCATAGGCAACCCAATTTTGATTTTAAAACAAGTTTGCAAAATTAAGTTTTATCGGTATCCCCTAATGTTTTAAGTGCGTCTTCAATTTACAGATAAACATGCCAACAGAATGAATAATAAACCTCGGAAAGAAAAGCTTTGTTGCTTGTAGCTCAAACAAATTGTTTATATATAACTTGTAAATATTAACGTTATTGCTTGCCATTGTTTGTATGGAAACTGTGAATATGGATGTATGATAATTTTTCTTCTTGTATCATGTTTATTATACTTATTGTATTCGTTTTTAGTCGCTGGAACCAAAGGTCATGTTCAGTAACATCAAAGTCTTGTCCAGATACGACACGTTTTGGTGGTCATATATGCTTGTGACGTAATACCTAGTACTGCCTGTTCTTTTTTGTTCAAATGTAAACAAAATGGAATCTTGTTCGAAATTCTTGAATATGTGATAGCTTGTACTTGAAAATTAAAAGTATTATTTATCTCAATCCGATAACAGAGACGCTTTAAAAATGTTAATGTTAATGTTTATTGAATAATGCTAATGCCTCTCTTTAATATTTGCAAACTCGGGCAAATTAGAAAATGTTATTTTGGTTTGGAAAATTCATCATACCCGAGAATTAGAAAGGATATTAAGTATGTTTATTGTTTCTGTGTATAAAAAATATGGAAGAGCTGGTAAATGGTTTATTTACTATCTATTTACTTTTACAAACAAATGATCCGTCATCCAAATTATCTTCATTTTTTCTCATTATATTTGCCAAATATAATGAACTTTAAGTAAAGAAAAGAAGTTGTTGTCACCAAACATTACTTGCCACACCGTTACAACACTTATAATTACCATTTATATTGACTATTTGATATAAATAGTTTCCATTTTAAGCTGAGATGAATTCAACTTTGTTTTCTGGAAGTAACCGTCATGTCCATGTAGTCTCACAGATCATGTCACGTGTCTTAATGAATTAATGTATTCGTTACACTTACATTTGAATACAATATTTTCAGAACCTCTTTTTCTCCGAATGCCATCATAAACAATCATTTATTGAAAGTGTTGTATTCCATTCAAAGAGATATATTGAAACATAATGTACCTTTTTTTCCTCTTTTTTTCGTAGCTAAAACAAGATTTGAGTAATCGTTTGGAAATTCATATATTTGTTTTCCTATAATGGTTGTATGGAAACGCAATGAGGAAAAAAGTGGAGAGATGATTTTTATGTTAATAAATGTTATCTTGATCTTGTTATTAATAAGTGATGTCTCTATTGTGGTTATTTTATATTGTAAACCGTAGCTAATCGTAATGTGAAGAGAATGATGTTCTATTGGGTTTTTCAATATTGTCCATTACTGTTAACGAATAACAGCTTATACGTGTAAACACAAGTGTTATTGGTTACAAGTAATATTTTTGTTTATTTATTTTTAAATGACTAACAATTTCATCGAATTTATCCATAATACGATTTCAAATACTTTCGAAAAATCAACTTGAGGTCATTTCTGTAACCTTGTCGATCATCTAGTGGTTTGTGTGAACATTACAATAACGTTATTCGAAGATTATTGTCATGGGATAAAGTATAATAAGGACATAAATTTGATTTTTCTTTTAAAATCTATACGATGCGCTAAGTGAGTTCCATAGCGCCATCAACGTTTGACACAAGTCATTCACCTTCGACCTGACCTCGGTGTAGTCATCGGCGAAGAGCTGTTGACAAAAATGAACCAACAACAACATTCCATTTTGTCATTTCCCCCCTTCTTTCCTGACACCCCACCATCTCCTTTTAGACATTTTTTTCTTTTGCTCATACAGCATCTTCGACCTTCCAATCTCGAAACATTTGGTGCATATTTTTTGTTCGACTTGACGTCGGCATTTTCGCAAAGGACGAAACCCTGGATGATTTACGGGCGAGCGCGGTCTGATTCGAAACCAGAGAAATGCGAAATATTTCAATCTCGGTCGCGGAGCCCTCACCATGTGTGCTTTTATTTCAAGGGGCTCTCTCTCTGATGAAAGGTGGCATAAATTGGCGTGTTGTTCAGAAACTCAGGCGCTCATTTGTTCTTCAGGGTTCGACCAAGCCGGGGACATGATAAATGTGACGTTTTGTTATTGTGGCTTGAACAGAAAGCAGCCGCACTTAGAAAATGTAGCATCTCGGCGTGGTTGATAGAGAAGATGGGGAGGAGAAAAAAAAAAAGGGGGTGCGCAACCTTTCTAGAAAGTTGATTTACATCGGAGTTCACGTTTTGGCACTAAGTGCAAGCCGGTGATGGTATGACCAAGGAGTTACCATGACGAAGGGGGTTACAGGCTTAGACCAACCCTCCTTGATATTATTAAGTAAGGTTATCAAGAAGAAGTAAAATAAATGAATAAATATGTGATATATTGAAATATGTCGCATTTCTCTGAACTCCCTTACATTATACATTGAATGCGTATACGAATGTATAACGTATAACATAGGGATAGTTTTTTTTATAGGCCCTCTCTTCTCTGAGGCCCACATATAAATATTTTCCAGGAATCACAATTTACTAAATTTTGTAAACGATTACCACACCCAACGCATTATTTAAAAGAAAACATGATTCAATTAACACAACGCATTGTGAGAAAATTACAACATTGTGGCGTCGCTAAACTATGATGGGGGGGGGGATGTTTCGGGCCAAAACAAAAAAGATTTCAAGCTTTCGCGAGAAATCTACCGAAGCTAGTAGGAGAGGGTTTTCTGCTATCCAAATTTGCTGACAGATATACAAATACTTTAAAGTAGTAAGCGAATAAAGAACGAATTGTCAAATCTTTAAAAATAAAAAAATAAGATAATTGAAACGAAAACAAACAAAACAACACTCAAAACTCAAATCTTTCAATTACCTTTGCCGTGTGATCTACAGCAATGTTGCGTTTAAAATGTCACAAAATAATCGATAAATCTGTAAAATTTTAAATAAATACGAAGATTATGTATGTCAAGTGAATGAAACGAAATTTTAGCCATCGGCCATTGATCATGTTGATATAAACAACGTCCAGAATAACAGTCCTTTGATGTCGGTGTATTGGTAACCGAAACCACCAACATGACATTAGCGGATTTATTTCCAAAAGAAGGCGTTTTTATGGATGAATTGGCTTGACAAGGACTATCTTAAACTTGATTACAAGACGGTCTTGAAATTGGCCATAAACCTATATTCAAACGCGTCCTTCAATGAAGTGGACTTTCATATATGTGTTCACTTATGACCCGTTTAAGAAAACCATACTAAATTGGCCATTGGGGAAGACATAGAACCGTTATTATACTCGTTAATACTGATCGTCATAAATTCACACTCGGTACGCAACATGACGAGGGGCGGCGATAACTCACCTAGGGCCCGCAAGAAATGGTCTTTAAATCAAAGTCTGGATGAAGAATTGTGGGCCGAAATGTTTCCAATGTTTGTTTGTGAGGATGAGTACGTGTTTTGCTTTAGGAGCGTAAATGTTTATTCCTGATTTATAATTACTCTTCGTGAAGACAGTGAGATATTCCTGTTGGATGCAAAGTCGTGTACAGAATCTCTCTTCTCGGTGGGAGTAGCAATATGGCGCACAATGATTATGTTGCACACGCACGCAACTAATTAATATGGGTCTAACTATTATCGCTGATCCTCTCTTCCATCCTATGACAGAGTTGACCTACGAAATGGCGTACCCACACATTTTAAATATGGGAGGGGGGTTGCTATAAAGTAGGCAGCCCAGCGTACTGAAGATACACTCCATGTCGTATTTTTTTGCTGGGCCTTCAAGGGGGGGGGGGGGGGCGGCTCGACACTGTGTCATCATGTCACACACATCACTCCCTCTCTTGTCCCTCACTGTCCTCACAACTTCCCAAATACAAATATTGTAGCCTATTTACTTTGCATCAAGCCAAAACCATATACATGTAAGTTTTTCTATTCTCGTGAGCATGTCACCTTCAAACTTCATTATAATTTGATTTCCTATAAATTGGTACATGTGCATTGAAATGGCGGTGTTCCACGTTTTATACATCATATAAGAAGTACGGTAATTATGTTTTAGTACACAATCATTAGGCTCGTTATACTTTCCGATATTGTCCACCTTGTTAGCTCGTTATTTATTGGAACTAGGCAATATTGATAAATATAAATCAGACAAACTATAATTCACTGCGCTGCTTGATTAAAATGAAATAATGCAAACGGGTCAAAGGTAACGCTCAGCGCAACATTGAAGAAAAAAAAATCGAAGAGCAAAATTTGATGTCGCCCGCCTCTGAGTACCCCCTGGACTTGAAAGCGCACGGGAAAGTTTCGGCCTTTGGAGTCACCTCTGAACCGTTCGATACTATCCTACCTCGCGGTCTGTATACTCTCGTTTATTTTCTCATAACAAGCCGATGGATGTTGTGCAGAATCCTCCCATAAATCACCCTGAACTGAAGCTTTGAATATTTAACTTATGGGAAAAGAGAAAAGTAGTAAATGTAACTATATTTTAAAAAGAAGTAAATCACTAGTCGCTTTCTAATTGGAATAAGGTGGATAAATTGGAAAATCATAGCGTCAAATTACTTGATTTCGATCTAATTTGGTTGAGGTAGATTAAAAAGAATGGCCGACGACTACTTTCAATCCCCAATACTCTACTAGCATTCTCTCACCATCCCCTTCCTACCCCCTTCTCCCCCCTTCTTTCCCTCTCTCTCTCTCTCTCTCTCTCTCTCGATCTCTCTGTACATATATCCCATTCCTATCCCCTGTCCCCTTCTGTATGTATATATATATATATATATATATATATATATATATATATATATATATATATCTCTCTTTCTCATTCCACCCCCTCAGAGTCCTCTCTCCTTTTATGTCATTATGATATATAATTTATCAGTTTGAATTGACGCATATTTGACCTCAAGAGAAAAATACTACAGAATGATATTGTTTTACCCAATATGCCTAATTTAATAATTCGTCCATACCAAAATAAAAAAGATAATAAAAAATTACGTAATTCGTAAACCTGGTGAGTTACCGTACAAAGCTGTGCCTAAAATAGATTGACCTTCATTTACTTCTTATTATTTAATAAGTTTATTGTAATTGATTGAATTATTTATTTCTCTTTTTGTGTAGGGTGTCATTGTTTTTTTCTCTGTTTGATCCATGTACGCAGTGGACACATCGTCACCACTCGAGT